TCAGCTGCCACCCCTTTCCATGTGCACCGCGTCCTCAGCTGCCAGCCAGTCCTTTCCACGTGCTCTGCGTCCTCAGTCACCAGCCCTTTGCGTGCGTGCACCTCTATACCTCTGCACTTTACATCCGCACCTTCTCTGAGTCTCAGTGTGCTTTTGTCTTTCCTTCTAGTTGTAGAATTTCCAGTCAGCCAGCCTTCCTGTGGTTCTGGATGATGTCTGTTCTCTCCTTTAGTTGTATTTTTGAAGTGGTTGTGCGAGGCAGCAATTTCCAGTGTTTACCTATGTTGCCATCTTGGTTTCTCCAATACTTTTAATTTTAAAATGCCTAAAATAAAAGTTTTTTTGTTACTGAACAAGGCCCAGGCCCAAAAACGGTCTGCCTCAGATGGGGGTGTAGTGTGTGGGTTCTTTTTTTATTTAAAATATATTTTTATTGATTTCAGAGAGGAAGGGAGAGGGAAACAGAGATAGAAACATCAATGATGAGAGAGAATCATTAATTGGCTGCCTCTTACATGCCCAAACTGGAGATTGATCCCACAACCCGGGCATGTGCCCCAATTGGGAATTGAACCATGACCTCCTAGTTCATAGGTTGATGCTGAATCACTGAGCTATGCCAGCTTTGTGTGTGTGGGTTCTTGACTTCGAGCAGGAAAGATTTCACAACACAAGTCCAGGTGATATAGAGAGTATGTTTATTAATGCTGGGAACGAAGGGAGGCCTTAGGGTAGAAGAAACAACGGGAGAGAGCCGAGGCTGGGCTGATTTGGTTCTCTAGAAATGTTACAGGAAGGAAGTGAGCCGAGGAGCGGCTGCTGTCAGCTCACTGGAAAGTAACAGTCACAGTGAAAGAGCTAAGTCAAGGTGGGGCTGCTGTTAGCTCCCTGGAAAATCAGAGAGGAGAACCAAGATGGTGTCATAAGTAAACGCCTGTACTCACCACCTCCCACAAGTACATCAAAATTGTAACTAAAATACAGAACAACCATCATTCAGAACCGCCTGAAAGCTGGAAGTCCTACAACTAGAGAACTAAAGAAGAAAGCACACTGAGGCTGGCAGGAGGGGCGGAGTTGCAGAACGGGCTTGTCCAACACTCACTTGCAGCATTTTTTTGTTTTAATCGGGAGGGATATCTCCAAGGCCTCCCAGGAGAAGCAGGAGGTCCCAGCCCCACACCAGCCCACCAGCCCAAGGTTCCAGAGCTTGGGAGAGAAGTTCCCATAACTCTAGACTGTAAAAACCGGTGGGTATTATGGCTGAGTAACATAGAGGTTGCTGAAGTCCCAGGTGTTCCTCTTAAGGGGCCCACACACAAACTTACACAGTCTCGCTTCCTCTGAGCCCCAGAGTCTGGTGGCACCTTTGGGGGAATGTAGGAGCATACGGGGAGGAACTGGACTGTCTGGCATTGGGGCAGAAACTTGGCTTTCTCCCAGACAGGAGTGCTCACAGGAGTCATTGTTCCTGTGCTGGGATCTCCCCCGTCACAGAGCTGACTGGCAGCCATATCTGAGTTTCCATCAGCCTGGCCCACACTGTTTTCTTTGCCCTAGTGATTCCCTGAGACCCCACCCCATCCAATTTGCAGCCCCACCCAAGCTGTTTGCAGCAGCTTTTCCATATGAATGGCCTGTTCTGGCTCAGGCTTCAGACTTTCCTAAAATCTCTTAAACAAACAGCAGCTGGAGTCAGCATGCCCCAAACCTATCAATAAAAGGCCCAAGACCTGATTCCAGCCTTGCTTCATAGCTGGGTCTCCCTTGGGCACTTCCTAGCCCAATGCAAGTAGCAGCCATCTGCAGATCTCTCTGTAGTTCCTGCCAGGTGCCCCCAGGCATTGGCTGACTTTGCACCTCCCTGGAGACCCAAGAGCCAGTGCACCCAGTGAACAGCTTCAGACCATACCAGGTTACAACCCTACACATTCACAAGCAACACACACAAGAGGCAGACTCAGTGAGCTCCAAAGACCCACTGAAGCAAGTCCTGCTCCATAGGGTGTCTCCTGTACAGTAGCTCTTCCACTGTAGCCACAGCTGGTCCTCAGAGCCAATTGGCCAGGAGGTCAACTCCTCCCAGTGATGCCAATAGCTCCTTGTAGGGGGTGAGCAGAAGGCAGCCAATCAATGATTCTCTCTCTTGTCATTGATGTTTCTAGCTCTCTCTCCCTTTCCCTTCCTTTCTGAAATCAATAAAAATACATTTAAAAAAGAAGACTCAACTACAAGACTGTGCACATAGTCCACACCTAGAGTGCCAGCTCAGGTGACTAGGAAGGCTGAGCCACTGGGCTCTACAGGACACCTGCTGCACAAGGCCACTCTACTAACTCCAGGAGAAATAACAGTTCTACATGGAATACATAGAAATAAATACAGGGAAGCAGTCAGAATGCAGAGACAAAGAAACATGTCACAAATTAAAGAAATGGAAGGTATCTCCAGAAAAAGAACTAAATGAAATGGAAGCAAGAAAACTACAGATACAGAGTTCATAACAATGTTTAAAAGGTTACTCAAGGATCTTAATGAAAGTTTCAAGGAACTTAATGAGAGCTTCAAGATAATTAATGAGAGCAGGACTTACTGAGACTTTCATAATCTTAATGAGAATGTCAAAGACATGGAAAAGGACCAGTCAGAAATCAAGCACACACTAACTGAAATAAAGAATAATTTACAGGGATTCAACATTAGGGTAGAGGATTCTGAGGATCAAATCAACAATTTGAAATATGAGAAAGCAAAAAACACCCAATCAGAAGAGCAAAAAGAATCCCAAAAAGAATCCAAAAACATGAAGATTGTGTAAAGAGCCTCTGGGACAACTTCAAGCATACTAACATTTGCATTATGAGGGTGCCAGAAAGAGAAGAGAGAGAGCAAGATATTGAAAACTTATTTGAAGAAATAATGACAGAAAACTTCCCCTACCTGGTGAAAGAAATAGACTTACAAGTCCAGGAAGCACAGAGAGTCCTAAACAAGAGGAACCTAAAGAGGACCACACCAAGACACATCATAATTAAAATACTAAGGGTTAAAGACAAAGAGAGAATCTTAAAAGCAGCAAGAGGGAAGGTGTTAGTTACTTCAAGAGAGCACCCATAGGACAGTCTGCTGATTTAGCAATAGAAACTTGGGAATGGCAAAAAATAGTCAAAGTGATGAATAGCAAGGACCTACAACCAAGATTACTCTACCCAGCAAAGCTATCATTTAGAACTGAAGGTCAGATAAAGAGCTTCACAGACAAGAAAAAGATAAAGGATTTCACCACCACCAAACCAGTATTATAAGAAATGTTGAAGAGTATTCTTTAAGAAGAGGAAGAGCCCTAGTTGCCTTGGCTCAGTGGATAGAGTGTCAGCATGTGGACTGAAGGGTCCTGGGTTCAATTCCAGTCAAGGGCACATACCTGTGTTGCAGGCTTCTTCACAGCCTGGGCCCTGGTCAAGGCGAGTGCAGGAGGCAACCAATTGATGTGTTTCTCTCACATTGATGTTTCTCTCTGTCTTTCCCTCTCTCTTCCACCCTCCCTAAAAGTCAATGGGAAAATATCATCGGGTGAGAATTAACAACAACAAAAAATAAACAAATGAAAATACTCCACTGGATTCTTTGCATTACAATGTGTGGCTGTGAGTCAAATTCTCTTTTAAAAAAAAAGGAGGAAGAGAAGAAAAAGAATATGAACAATAAAATGGCAATAAATACATATCTATGAATTGAATCTAAGAATCAAAATAACAAACAAGAAATCTAGTAAACAAAATAAATGATGAATAAAATAGAATCAGAGGCTTGGAAACATGGAACAGACTGATGAATCTCAGAGGGAAGAGATTAACTGAAGGTCTTATATGCATATATGCATTACCTATGGGCACAGAGAATAGGGTCATGAAGGTCTGGGGTGGGATGGGAACCAGGTGGAGGGGGCAATGGGATGAAAAAAGGGGGACATCTGGAATACTCTCAACAATAAAGATTTAAATATAATTCATTAATTAAAAAGAAAATCAGAGAAAAGGGGCCTTGGAGAGAGGATCAACCCAGGACAAGCTGCTGCTGCCCATTGCTCCCTAGTTGCAAGTCTCCTGGGACCCTTAGATTTTAGGAGAAAGAAAGTAAAAAGTTCATGCCCAAGAAGGGGCATGGGCATGCTCTGGGCATCCTTTGTCTTGAGGGTTTTCTCTCTCTTCTGTGGGTGAGAATCTAAGGGAGGGTTCCAGCAGAATATTCATCAGCTTTCCACATGCGTTTTTATTACGCTGATGCATTAAAATGAGCTGCTAGGGAGTCTGGGATTATTCTTTGGTTTGCTTTACTGTTTTACTTTTATCTTGGGTCTGTCTGGCTCTAATCAGGCTTTTGTTATTTGTTCCCCTGACTTCATCTGTCCTTGGGTTTGGCTGGCACAAATGGCATTAGTCAGGTCTCCCTCCTCTCTCCATGACCAGGGTGATGGAAGCTATGTATTCTCTGGTTAGGGAGGAGAGGTATACAACATTTTCTCTCAAGTGTCCTTGGTTGGGGAAGATAAGGTCTTGCGATTCACTAGCTGCTATAAGTTGTTCAAATTGTCTGATATCATTTAATTATCTTGTCTCAGTTTCCCCATTCCATTTGCCTGGGAATTTTTCTAGCTTCTTACTATCCTGGCTTATTATGAACAAAATCACATAACCTACCTTTTAAAATTTTCTTTTTATTTTAAAAAATCTTTATTGTTGAGAGCATTACACGTCTGTGTCCATAGCTAATGCACATACGGATATAAGATCTTTGTTTACTCTCTCCAACCCCCCCCACCCTCCTGCACTCTGAGAATTGTCAGTCTGTTCCATTTCCATGCCTCTGATTCTATTTTATTCACCAATGTATTCTGTTTATTAGATTTCTTATTATTAATTTTTTAAATTTTAGATTCAATTGTTGATAGATATGTATTTATTGCCATTTTATTATTCATAATTTTCTTCTTCTTCTTCTTCTTCTTCTTCTTCTTATTTCTCTTATTAAAG